TCCATTTATTTCAACAAAGTAACTGTATTCTGAATACCACCTTTTTAAACGGTAACTGTAACGGAATACAGTTACTCATATTTTGTATTCTAAATACGTAACGGCGGTACATGTATTCCGTTACTCCCCAACACTGGCTACATCTGACTGGTTTCATGTCACTGTGCTAATGTCCATTAGAAAATAAGTCTCTATACAAATATTTATGGAGCTCCAGAAGTGGAGGCTGCTGAGGGGGCACTACTGCACAAAGCAGCGAGCGGTGAAGCAGCTCGTGTTGCTGAGACGTGTCCGTCAGTCCACCACAGGAGGTTTTTGTAAAGCTTTTATTTTGATATTTTCTTTGACCAGTAAATTTGCATATTAGCTAAACATTTAGTTCCCCGTAACATTTAGATTTAAATATAAAAAGGTACAAATTTTGTCCTAAATGTGTCATAAAATTTCAGCATATTTTAGTTACAGTCTAGAAATCCACGTCAGTAAATCCTTTCATACGTGCAGGTTGAGCTCTTTCTGCTGATGTGATGAAACCTGTTTACGAGCAGCAGCGTGGAAACTCCGGCTCATCTGCCAAGAGACAAACAGCGGAGATAACGGAGTCCAAGCAGGGAGTCTGTCAGGACTATCAAACGTCTCTCTGAGCTGTGACGGGACAAATGTCCACGATGGGTTCCTTCAAAGTGCTCCTCTGTGCGCTGACTCTGCTGGCCCTGACCGTGGACTCCTCGTCTGGTAAAAAGTTTTAATGTTGTGGTGAGGTTTAAAAGCAGCTGCGTGGCTGAGTGTACAGAACACAGATTACATCAAACTAACAGCGTTTCCTTCTGACAGGAGGATACAGCAACTACGACCTGTCGGGTCAGCAGCTCACAGATCTCTACAAAGCTGAATGGATGGTCCGACCGCTTGGATCCAGTTGGTCCACGTTTGGACCGCTCAGCCACACCGGCGTCAGGGCAGGCTACACGCTCACCGTATTTATTTAAAAACCTGCTGCTTTCACTACCGCTGATGTCCATCTGGAATCCACCGTCGCCGCAGAAAAAGATGCTGCCTGAGATTCCTTCAGTTTTCTTCAGTTCCACTTTGCCGCAGCTCCTGCTGACGGCTGCAGTGATGGGCCATCATACCTGAGCCCAGACTGGTTTTTATGTTTCCAGGCGAGAAAAGTTTTTAACCTTTGCTACAAGACAAAGACAAACCACGGCCTGGCCGAAGCTTTGACATCACAACTCTTTGCTATTCTTTGAAAAGGCTCAGATTGCGTCCAACTGTCGCATTTCTTACTCTGTCCAGGCTCCGCTGCACTTCTTACATCCTCAGATTCGTTCCTTTGCTTCCTTGAGTTCACAGATGCGCTTTGACAGCTCGAATCTCAGACTCTCAGATGTTTGATGAGCGCAGCGTCAGACTCGTTACGTTTTCTCTTCCCTCAGAGTGACGCTCGCTGGAGCTCAGTGGCTGATCCACAAAGGTCAGGACTACGGCGGTGACCAGCGCTCGGCACATGAGCTCAGCCTGGAAGGTAAGTCAGAGTTTGAACTGAAGCTTTGAGCCAGAGACATTTTTAAAAGAGTGATGAGTTGCTGAACATAAAGATATTTCCTCTGTGGAGTAAAATGTGTGTTTCAGTGAATGATGAGCAGTATGGAGGCAGAATAAAATACTAAAGTGTGCGTTCCCTGCAGCCCGTGTTTCACCTGAGCAGACAGTTTAACGGGAGGAAGAAAGTTGCTGATTTTGTGAAACGTGGAGGACAAACCTACAACTGCCACGTAGCTTCTATTACAATGATGCTGCAGTAAACCTGATTTCTTCATGATACAGGTGAAAGCTCCCAGACAGCGTCACAGGTGGATGCTGTTGTTCCAGCGTTCACACAGTCCGCTTCATGAACTCAAACTCCACTGAATCTGCATCTGAACGACCACACGGTGTAAGATGTCACGTGCTGTTCTCAGTTTACTACCTGGTAGAGATCCTGATACATTAAATCTGTGCAGTTTTAACAAAGACTACACACAGCCTGCAGCGCCCCCTGGTGTTTGTTTCTAAGTTCAGACATGCCCATTATGATAAACTCCTCAGAGCAGCGGTGGGCAACTCCAGGCCTCGAGGGCCGGTGTCCTGCAGGTTTTAGATCGCACCCTGGGTCAACACACCTGAATCACATGATTAGCTCATTAGCAGGCCTCTGGAGAACTTCAGGAAATGCTGAGGAGTCATTTAGCATTTTAAATCAGCTGTGATGGATCAAGGACACATCTAACACCTGCAGGACGCGGCACTCGAGGCCTGGAGTTGCCTACTGCTGCCTTAGAGCAACATACGTCCCAATCACTGCGTAACAACACATCAGTGTCATAAATAAAACATTGATGCTAAACCAGTTTCCGTCTGTGTGTGCACGTGTTTCCGTTCAGTCTTTTAGTATTCTGACTCTGTTGTCTCTGCACTGTATTCGTGTTCACAGGCTTTGAATCATTCATGACGTAAATCCAAACGAGCTCGTTAATGTCACGAGAGCAAACCAACATTTCAAATCAAACACTTCCTGTGTGTCAGTGTGAACGTGGCGGTAAACATTCACCCGGAGACCTTTTGAAGCCTCTTTAGTTCCTCGTGAAGTGAAGCTCTGCAAACTCTCCCACGGGGCTCAGATTCTTCTGCAGTCACGTCACGGACGCCAACACTTCAGAGACGCTGACGTCGGCCTGAAGAGCAAACTGATTGTTGTGCAGATTGCCGTGAAACGCCCGCAGCAGACGATGGGAATTGGCAGGGATCCCTCTGAACGGGACATCCCATAATGAGTGAGGTCAGGCAGCGACTCCGTGAAAGAAGCGATGGTCGTGTGGTGCGACGGCCTCGGTTGGTCAGCAGGCGCAGAAAGCCTCTGACGTCACAGATCTGAGGAATCTCCGCTCGTGAAAACACACACGCCGAGGATGCATCCTTACATCCTTACATCCTTACCGTGTGCAGACGCAGGAGTCCTGCACATCAGACTCGACAGAGCTGCTCGTCTATGACTCCAATGGAGCGTCTCTAAACACAGCACGCTGTCCTACATACACATATTTATATGTTCGTTCATCTTTGCCTCCAGGAAAGATCAGAAGACTGTCATGAATGTAAAATGCTCTGGTCCTGTGAGCCCAGCTGATGCTGCTCGTTGAACCTCCACGTGGAACAGATGTCCACTTTTCAAATTCAGAAAACCTTTGAATTTTCTTTTCCTTACAGGCGTTCTTTCAAATAAATATTAAAAATGTTTCATTCTATGATGAAAACACTGAGGCAGCAAACTAAATAAAATCCCTGTAAGCCAAACGCTTCGAGTGTTTTTCCTACTGTCACAGATTTCCTGACACAGTCATCTTCTACAGCACAGGCGTCCAACTCAGCCTCAGGGCCGGAGTCCTGCAGGTGTTAGACGAGTCCTTGATCCATCACAGCTGATTTAACGGCTAAACGAGCTCCTCAACATGTCTTGAAGTTCTCCAGAGGCCTGCTAATGAACTAATCATGTGAATCAGGTGTGTTGGCCCAGGGTGATATTAAAACCTGCAGGACACCGGCCCTCGACACCCCTGTTCTACAGGAACTGAGCACCCACAGAGCACACGTAGCCCCTCAGCAGGCTTCCACAAGCTTCCCAATCAAAAGAAAGCAGGCAGGGTGTTGGAGTCAAGTTGTTAATTGTTGTCATTGTGTTTCTTAAATTTGTAAGTCTTAGTTTAAACTATATGATCAAAGACATTCCTTTGATCCTGACCACCTCCCCCAGCTACTCTGGTGCTGGGGAGGCTTTATTAGGCAGATCTGTTTCCTGTGTGGTAAGCTTCCTGCTTTTATGGTCCTTCTGTGGTCAGCAGGTCACACACACACACACACACACACACACACACACACACACACACACACTGCCTTATCTTTTAGAACCATAGGGGGGTTTGTGAGGGGAGGTGCTTGTGTTTACTGTTGTGTAACTGTTTTCAGTAAACAGCTGTGAGGAAGGCTCCTCTCTGAAGAAGTTGGGTTGAGTCGGGTGAGGAGCGTTGAGCTCCAAGAGCCTGTTCCAACCAGCCTTCCCTTGCTAGCAAGTAAAATCGATCGATCGCTGATTGTGTTGTTGTTGAGAATAAGTTTCTAAACCAGTGGGGCCTGTGGAGGCGCAGACCCACCACAGGGGAAGGGAGGGTCTAAAGAGAGCTGGTGTCAGACAGATGAGCTGATCTAAGAAGAGTAAGCAAAAGGATCTGGAGTCTAAGAGTGGAAATGGAGCCGCAAATGACAGGAAGGAAACGACGACTGCGTTCTGTAGAAATCTCTATTTTAATGCAGTCAACAGAAATAAAAGGAAAACAAATTCAGATGTGATTAAAGGAGCATATTTACAAAAAGTCTCAGAGATTAAATCTGTTTTTTTAAACACAAGGAATAATTTTCTGTCATTTGCACATTTCATAAAACATACAAACGTCCAAAGAAACGCGTCTTCATTTTCACTGTGCGCCGGTGACCAGCAGGGGTCATGTGACCTGCCTGAACAAACCCCTGTGAGGCCCGTCCGTGCGACGGAGCTCACAGGTGACGATGTCGCGTCTCTTTCAAATCCTGTTTTTGGCGTCGCTCTTCCTCTCGGTGTAAAGCCCCCCCCTCCTGCTTCTTCCCTTTTTTCTCGCCTCAGTGGTTCAGGATCATAGGTGGAAGTTTGATGCAGAAACAAAGTGTTTTCCCCCCTCGAGGAAAGCGAAAGTTCAGACTCTCCTCTCGAGGCAGCTGGCAGAGACACGCCCTCGGTCTCAGTGTGTCTCAGGCGAGCGTCTGCAGGGTCTGGTAGCCTCTCCTCTTCTGCGCTCGCAGCAGAGGCGTCTGAGTGTCCGCGTCTCGAGACGAAAACGTCCTGCGGGCTCGCCGCAGGTACACGCGAATCCATCCGTAGACCAGACAGTTAAAGAAGCCCTGAGAGGCCGAGGTTAACGCCTGAGGACACAAGACACGCTCGGGTCACTGCACGAAAGACACGTGAAACAACCTGAGAGAGGCGTGTGACTACGACAAAAAGAACCACAACGATGAGCCTGACATATCCTACGTGATGAATCGCACAGAAAGCAACAAAAGACCAGTGAAGCAGTCGAGACGGCACAAAAAGGAAGCTTAATGAGACACAGTTACACAAAGAAAACATTCAAAGACCACAAAATGAGCCCAACACACAAATTCAACCACAAAATGTTCGACTGCTGTCAAAAGATCCAAATCAAACAAACTTCAACAGCCTCAGGAAAAGACGACACGCCACCAAAAACAGGCTGAACGAGCTCAGAGCGTAAACGCCGTCGTGTTTCTCTGGTACCGACTCACCTGCAGGATGTACAGCACCACCCCGGCTTTGCCCTGGCACGCCGCGGGATCCGCCACTCGCAGAAACGCCAGGATCACCGCTGAGGAAACAACACGACAAACAAAGACACGCTGAAACCTCGCTGACTGCGTCTGTCGCCAACAAGAACCAATCAGAGTCCGCGCCGAACAAACCTGGACCCCAGCAGAAGACGAAGACCAGCGGGTACAGGACCATCCTCCGGTCCATCACGCTGAACGAGGCCCGCTGCTCGCTGCCCAGGTAACCGTTAGAGGTCACGATGCGCCTGTAAATACAGCGCGCTTTGACCACGAGGACCAGAGAGGGGAGGTCACCTCCACGTGATGTTCGTAGAATAAGACGCGTCTGTGCGACGAGCGTGAACTCACCGTGATGCTGAGGAGGGTGACGAGCACGGTGATGAGGAAGACGGTGATGTGGTAGGTGTGCAGGTACAGGCAGCTTCGGCTCATCGGCTGCTCGTCCGACATCAGGAACAGCGCTCCGGTGTGCATCATCAGACACCTGGTCGGATGTGGAAAAAAGCCCACTGAGCTTCTGCGTGGAAGCAATCGGTGGATTTGCTCGCGGCGTGAACACTTTGTGTTCTGGCCTCACCTGTAGGGTTCGGTAAGGTTGGCCTGACAGTGGCTGATGTCCCCCTCTATGATTACCGGCAGCATCAGCAGCACAGGAAGCAGACTGCAGACACACAGAGCAGGACACACTGTTATCAGTACCACCGTGTGTGTGCTTGCATGCATCCACAGAGTGAGGCTTTGGTGCTCACTCACCATGAAACCAGAGCAACGATTTTACCCGCCGTGCTCACTCGGTTGGAAACCTGCACAAGGATGCAAAATACCACATCAGAATGTATTTATAGAGCACATGTTAAAACAACAGTGTTGACCACAGTGCTTCACAGTAAAAGCATGAGACAGGCGACAACAACAAGCTAGAACAACTCGTTAGAACCGACAGCCACAGTACAAAGATGCGTTTCAGGACGTGATTTAAAAGACTGGATCGACTCGGCGGTACGAACATGAACAGGGAGGTTATTCCAGAGTCTGGGTGCCACGGTTGCAACGGCCCGGTCACCGAGACCGAGGTTGTGCTGGGAGCCTGTGATTGGCCGATCTAAGTGCGCAGAGAGAGAGCTGGGCGCTAAATTATTCAGAATTTTAAAATCTATGCGATATTTGACAGGGAGCCAATGTAGTTTGGCTAAAATTGGAGCGATGCGTTCGTAGATTCTCGTAGCTGTTAAGAGACGCGCAGCTGCATTTTGAATTAACTGAAGCCGGTAAAGAGAAGAGTGTTGGAGGCCCGAGTAGAGCAGTTACAGTCGTCCAGTCTGGATGTGTGCATAAGCTTTTCAAGGCCCTTTAAAATCATTTTAAAGCCTCATGTTTACTGAGACAAACAAAGCTGTTCATGCTGCACCGAAGTGATCAGGTACCAGATCAAAACTATTTTGAAGCATCGGGACCAAACATGGGGAGGTCTGTGCCCCGTCAGGACACTGGAGCATCTTTTTATCCTCTTAGGTTTCCCCACCACTCTACTTTTACCGAGCCTCTGGGAGCTGTGGGCTGCGCAGAGTTTGACCCTGTCAGGTTTGCCCTTTGTGTTATTCTAAAGCTTTATGAGCTGCAAACAAAACCCTGAAAGCTTTGTTTACTACCTGTTGTGTGTGTTTTGCTGCCCTGGCAGCTGGACAGATGTGTCTGTACCTGTACAGAGTATCCATCCATGCAGCTGCAGTACTTCTCCTTGATTCCTTTGTAGAGGTTCCAAACGTAGTAGAGGGTGTAGAAGAAGGAGGCCATGTAGAAAACCTGAAACAGAGTTTGTGATGAGCCAAATCCTCGCTCACGTTCGCCGCGCTGATTTTCTAAACGGGTCACCTGACACCCCGCCCCCTTTTCAGACTTTAATAGAGCGCGAGAGCCAAAAGGGGCAGCTGACCCGGGGTTGTTGCTCTGAGTGGGAGATGTGGGTCAGGAATGTTTTTCTGCTTCCAGGCTGTGTTCTGTCCTGGTTCTGCTGCTCCATTTCATCCCAGAATGACCCAGTTCAGGATCTGGACCTGGTCATCTGGACCAGAATAGCTCACTCGACAGATATTTGGCAACAGAGACGTCAGCTGTGTCCCAAAACGTCGGCCGCATCCTTCGGAGGACCCGGCCTTCGCGGTCTACGTGGGCCGGGTCCTTCGAAGACTGAGAAGGCCGGAAGTGCGAGACGGTGAAATGGGACGGTCCAGCCTTCAGATCTGCGTCAGCGCTGTGTGGGTGGAGTTTAATAAACTCGGCCGTCTGCTCCTTGCTGTCTAAAATATAACAGGACACTGGAGTAAACTCTCGACCGTCTCACACTTCTGTTTAATCAGTTTTCTGTTTAACGTTTATTCAGCTGTGTGAAAACCCCGGAGGAACCCACCCGATGGATTAATAAAGTTTTATTTAATCGAATAGTCTAATAACTTTGATCTCAGCCAAACGATTTACTCCGGAACAAATAAAACACCGAAAAAAGGAAAACAATTACATTTTTAAGTTCTGAGTGACTTAAATATCATGTTTAACCTGAGTAGCGACAGAGCGGGGGTCTGAAAACGATGAAGCCGGGAGTCCGCCGCTCTCGCCGGCTGGAGTGACCATTGAACCCC